CTTCCACTTGTACTGAGCATTGGTGTCCGACATAAATTTTGAGGTGCAAAAATGTCCAATATGGATTTAAGTCCAAGGAATCTCTTGAGAAATGCTGTCCCCTAGTCACTCTGGATAATCCACAGACCTCGAAGTGACCAGTTTTTGCGGGAAGTACTTTCTACCATAGAAATAGTTCTTATAAAAACTCATGTCAGTGATTCCTGTGCATTGTCCAGAGTAATGAGGACACTGTAAGAGGTGATGCTGTTGCATGACGAGACGAGTATCTGAAAAACCTGGCAAATAGAATCCAAAACTATCTGCAAGAAGAAAGTGGAAATGGGAATGGAACCTTGGGCGAACTGTCTCTTTAAAACCAAAAATATTTTAACCAAATCTATCACTGTTTCTATGGACGTGCTGCCCAGCAAAGACTCCCTGATGGCCTTTTGAGAGATGGGAGGTGGTTTAATTGCTTATTTCCTGCAAGAGCTCATTTATGCCATCAAGAAAATGATGCTGCCGTGGGAGATGCAGGATGATTAGGATCCACATCATCATCTTTGGCAGATGATATTTGGAAGACAGTCTGGGACCCAATCTGTTGTCTTCCCGGCTGTAAATCCTCTCTGGAAGCAATAATCGTTAGATAGATGTTTGATAACACAGCAGTTGACGTCAGCACCTTGTGTGTGGGCAGTGAAAGTGCTAGGCCAATTCTCTAGCCCACAGTTGTAACATCAAGTGTGACGTTAATTTTGCAGATACGCCCCCTTCTTAATCTAACATCATAAAGAGTGTAAAATTCACAGAAGCATTTTCATGAAGAAAATGTGTGCGATTGCTGTAAGCTGTCATGAGGAATGGGCTCGAGTTCAGCGTTATATTTGTAGTGAATGGGCCTGCAGCAGCTTTAGCACATTATATTATAGCACACTCATGAATATGGAAAGTTATGTACAGTTGTTCAGAGTGTAATACAGAGCATTTTGGAATTTGAATGTTGTACTGTATGCAGGTGATGCGGTATAAATATAATGGAAGCAAATGGGCCTCCATAGATTTGAAGCTGCACCCATCAATATTTTATTCTAACAGTGGATCAAATGACTAGGCGTCCTGTGAAAAAGGCGTGTGCTTGTAGTGACGAACCCACAGAATTATCATTCAAATCCACTCTGCTCTACCTAGTGTTGTATTGTCTCTCAGCCCGTTGCTTTGGTTTTACGGCCCGTGGCTTTATTGTTGTGGTTCACTCTCACCTTCGTCTCATTGATTGTTTCCAGTCGCATCTTGAAGCTGTTTTCATAAACAAAGCTTGGATTAACCTACTGTAAGCTGCCTGACCCATGCCAAACAAGACAAAGTTCATGACTAGAGTTAGTGGAGACCAAAACAGAAATAAAAGGACAGTGAATACTGAACTTACATTTGTCAGGTCACGGGAAAAAGGACTCCAAAATAATGCTAACATTTGCTATGTGTTTGCTGGGTGTGTAAATAGACATCTGTATGATAACATGTTCACCACAACAACTTTATGCAACGATAATTTGGTAATATTCTCTCTTTTCAGTATTAAATTTTAAACATGTCCAGCTTCTTTTTGCGACAGACAAACCAAAAATGTTAAAACGAAATGTAATTTGAAGGCCCCAAAGATACGACGACAGTGGACAGCACAATATTGATCTACACCTCAGTGAAAGCAATACCCATGAGAAATAATTCACATATTTTTCTCCCAGTGAAGGCAAACAGAGGAGGGGAGCTATGGGATTTGATCTTAGACCAGAGGGGGTCACATGTAGTTACAGCAGCAGATTTAACCACTCTGCTGTTTCTAGGAACAATATCCCCGAAATAAATCTGCACTTTGTTGTCCGAGGCAATGATTTCATTTTTCCATTCCGTGAGCCATGATTTAACAGGTTATGTGTGTGGTGCCTTAATGAAAAAGAGCCTTTGTATAAGGTTTGTGGTTCTAAAATCAAACACAATGATGGCCCACGCAAAACCCCACAGCTGCCACTAAGAGTTGGGCCAATTTTAGCCGAGGGGAAGGAAGGGCAGGTTGGAGAACAGGAGCCATGAGGGAGACACAAAACAAACGAGCTTAAAGTTAAACCACTACACTGCTTTGTGTTGTGTACAGGTTTCTAACCCAACGCCCCTAAAGGTAACAAAGAATATTCAACGTTACGAGCTCTTCACACACTATAAGTTTGGCACTTGTGTGTATTTTTCTCCGATTCCCTGACCTCATGTTTGCCGGCTTACGGTGAATTCCAAGGTGACAGACATGTTTGAAACTTGCCTCGGGTGTGAGAGGGATAAAGGAGTGTGATGCATGTGAAATCAGCTTCAGAGGTGATGATATCAAAAGCTCTGATTTATGCTTTAGTGTCTGGGATGACGCTGTTAAGCAGGTGTGAACCCAACATTTAAGGAAGATGAGTCAAAAGCATGTCAGTGTTTGTATCTCCGACTTACAAGCTGGCAGGAAGGACTCTTTTTCTGTCTGTTGGATTGATGAGTCATGCATGAGATTAAAAATATTTCATTGTTGCCATCATACACAAGCCTCTGGATTTCTGTGGAGTCTTGAAGTGCTTTTGAAATGAACAAATGGAAGCTAACAGCCTGTTGGCAAACACTGTTTTCTGTTAAACATAAGTAAAAAAAACGGAAAGCGATGATACATTCCTCACTTGAAAACTAATCTGGCAGGTTTGAGTTTAAGTGTCACTGCTGTGTTGGATGTGGTCAGCAGTAACGACAAATAGCCCCCAGATCTGGTCAGGTCGAGGGTCAAATGTTCAAATGTGACCTGACACTACCACACACAGAGTGAACCCCCCCCCCATCTGACACAGTGTTCACACGTTCGTATGGCACTCCTTTTTTCTTTTAGAGCTGATGGTGCACTGGGATCTTTATGGAGTCTGATGTGGGGCATTGAGTTTACAGTTGTAATTTACGTGACTTTTACCCAGGCCTTGAATGCCACACTCACATTTCAGTAATACTACAGACGATACAACACATTACAGGACAATACCAGCTTAGGTTGCTTTCAGTTTTTCAGATACAAGAGTTGACACTTCGCCTGGTTTCACTTATTCACTTCCACCTAAATAGAATTACTGCAGATTTTTTGACATTGGCTGGATGGATTTGTCACTCACTGCTGATTGGTTAAATCAAAATAACAACCCTTCCCAGCTGAAAACGGATAACACAAACATATGTCAGACTATATATAATAAAGAAGTAAAATGAAATGGTAGTTTAGTGAGATTATTGGGATGTTTGAAAATGGCTTGTAGTCATCACACTGAATATCGAGACAACAGTCCAGAGTTGCAGAAGCCTTCCTGTATGATGAACGATCAAATCAATCATTATAATGCACAATAATGTAACTTTGACAAAAATAAATGCAGACTTGATATTGAGTGTGATGTATCACACAACTCAAGCAATGTTCAAGAGTCTACTAATTGATTTTCAAACAGTAAAGCAATGAATGGAAACCAGTGGATGCCTGGGGGGGGGGGGGGCCCTCTCAAATCTTATGTAGCGTTTATGTAGTGAATTTCTAGTAAATGGTCCAAGATATGCACAAGAACTCATATGATCCTTTTTAAAACGACATCACAGTCTTTGAAGCACAGTTACAAGTGATACTGAAGAGCTCCTCGACTCAGCCTCGCAGCTGCAAGTCGGTTGTTAGATGTTTGTGATCTGCGTGTTGCAGATGGAGCCGGTTTACCACTCTCCAGTGAGCACTGGATGAGAATCTGTCACAGTGGAAAGAAAAGTGACAGCCTTGGCATAGACACCTCTCGTTTTTCTGAACAACAGATTGCATCCCACATGGTCCTGTGCAGGAGGGGGACTGCCTTGGCTTTTTAACCGGCATCTGCTCGCCGTTCTCCTGTTTTGATCCCCGGCATGGCACGGCACTTTTTTCTATTATGTTACCAAACTGTGATATGGCAGCTATAACGCAACATGTCCTCCTGGCATCAACGTCTATACTCCCCTAAAATCTCATGTGCCACTTCACAGACGTGCGGCTAATTTGGAGCTGTGAATCAAGAAGTCACAGAGCAGATCATGTTGCAAAACATGCAGCCATGCGAGGCTTTTCTGTGGGCCAGTGGCTGGATGGAAAGAAAAGAAAAAATCTGTGTCTGCTTTGAAGATGATTCCAATTGAAATCTGTGCCAGTTAAGGCTCCTTTTGAAAATTGGTCTACACTGTGTCCCTGCCAAATGATTGTGAGGGTGCAGCTTATATACATTTGCTTTTACATTTCAAAGAAGGGGGTGAGAAATGGCAGCCCAAAGTTGCTACCATCAATCAAATGTGTTTATTAGAGGAGAGGAGATGTGAACACATTAAATAAGGGAGACTGACAAATTCATTTAGGGCATGATAATGTGATGAAACTCTGTGACTGCCAGTTTCACTCACTCCCCTGTGAGAGCCAGACCTCACATCAGTCTATTGCAAAACATGATTACATTAAAAACAGCAGATAAAAATATTCAGTGAATCTACTATTTCTTTAGCTACAACCACCAGACTAAAAAAAAACACAGCTTATGAGAAGAAGGAGAAGACTGTCTTGAGCTCATTTAGCTTAAAACATCTGTCCCAGATGCGTGGACAGAGAGGAGGAGGAGGATGTGTACACATGCCTCTGGTCTGCTCAAAGCTTTCAGCCTACACAAATTAATGCGATTTAAAAAAAAAAAAAACTAAAAATAACACCTGCATCTTCAACTGAAACAGTGATAGTCAGGAATACAGAAGTCAGGACATAGAAAAAGCAAAGAAGGCGACATATTGGGTTTTATTATAATAATCTGTAATTTATGGTTTAATGTATATTTCTGTCTGCCTGCCTATTACAAACGCTGCATGTTTACAATAGATCAAATAATGAATAATGAATGAAGTAGCCCAGTGCTGATCGCAATAATAGAAGTAGATACAACAGAACCTACCAGTTCTTGCTTCAGTCGCCTCAGACACGCATCCATATTTTTGCTCTCTGGTTTGGAGAGCTGTTCCATTTTTTTAAAATTTTTTTCCTTTTCCTTTTTGTAAATACAAGAATCTCAGATGGAGCGTCGTCGCTCGAGCATGACTATGAAAGCTTTCTCCCGGGTAGAGACATTAAAACTGCGCTCTGCTGGAGAGCTGGGAGAAACAATTTGCGATTTGGAGATGCGCAAATCCTGCTGAGGAATGCGCGTGCGGCTCGTAATGACGTGAATCCTGTATTAAAAAGAAGAAGAAGAAGGAAAAAAAAAAACAACTCCTGATGACGAAAATGTGTTTACTCCAAAAAATGATAATGAGGTCCTTCTTGTGGCTGCGTCAGGAGACTCAGTCTATGCCTGTGTGGGTCTCTCTCTCTCTCTCTCTCTCTCTCTCTGTCTCGCTCTGTGTCCAGCCCGTTTTTTCCCCCTCTCTGCTATTTTCTCATTCAAGACGCGCGCTTACGTTGCCCATCCAATTTCCTCCAATGAGGGAGCCTCTCAGGACAGGCTAAATCTCATTCAAACGAGGGATGCATCATTTATTATGTAGGAGTAGATTTGTCCACAGCAGCTTCTAATGATTTCTCCGAGATTGGAAAAGAGAGTCTGCAACATCTGGAAATGTTTGAGTCGAGGCTGAAAGATCACATAGTTCAGGCTATTCAAAGAGCATGAAAAATGAAATGTCTCTATTCCATAACTTACAGACTAATAGAACAGATCCTGCAGCAACTGTTGCAGCACAAGACTGAAGGAGGAAGTTTAAGGAGGATGTGTCTAAAAGAAAGCATATGTGTCATGAAACGAGCAGTATAGGGACAGTTTCCTGGCCACCATCACTGAGGTCAGAGAGGAAACACCTGAGCCACGGGCTTTTGTTGTGTGACCTGGATATAATACTGTGTTAGCAAGGGAAGGAAGAGGTGCATATACAAGGCTGCCAATCTGGAAGTTGTTTATCAGTGCCTCCCTCAGAATATATATTTGACATATCTCAGTGGTTGCACAGGCAGTATATAAAACATTCAATGCATCTCCGGCAATCTGAAGATGTCAAGGAAACTAAATGAGGTCTGTTTTTAGAAATGGGCTTGTTTGTTTTTTTTTAGTTTACATTAAGGAAAATATGATCTTATTTTAGTCTGTGGTGTATGTTTTTACATGAGGATGCACATTTGGGCTGGGTATTGAACTGACATATCAGCGCTAATATTGCAGACATTAGATCAGGGAGATTATACAGTATGTGTACAGTCCACGGGGTCACATACTGTATAGCGTACCACATGCATGATAAAATCAAAATCCAGTCAGTCTGTTCAGGTCCTCACTGCTTGTCCAGGGAAGACCTCTAGAAGACAGTCAGGAAAAACTTGGTGCCCTCTGACCTGCTTCTGTCATCTGGAAGTTTTTTAATATCAGGCCTGATGTTGGGTGATTTTTCCCAGATGGATGGATGAATGCTAAGAGAGGAGGAAGTGGATCCATTTCAGATTCCAAAAGCAATGAAACAGGGCTAATGAATAAATCATCTGAGCACTTCAACTTCACGAGAGAGAGAGAGAGAGAGAGAGAGAGAGAGAGAGAGAGAGAGAGAGAGAGCTCCTCAGGTAGACAGTGTACACTAGTAATTAGACCAAAAATGTGAAGAGCTAATCCTTCTTGCCAAATGCTGTTATGATATTGAACTTATTAACTAACTTCTGCAGGAACACAGGTGACAAATAGTCAGTCGTTTCTTTAAGTGTCTGTTTTGTGTCTGCTCCTCTTATTGCTTTGAAGTGGGCGGTTTTCTGCTGGAGAAAGGTGGTGTCATATACGGCCATGCACCAATTAGGATTTAGCAACATTTGAATCTGACAACAGTTGTGGCGTTGTTACCTGATGTTGTCAGTCAAGTCTGATCTGATGACTTTTGTCAAACTCTTGAACTTTTACTCCATTTGTTGCATGCTGAATTTGGTCATTAGAATCACAAATTTATTCATGTGTGCATTATGAAAATTACTGCAGAAACTAAATGTACACTAAATATTTACAGACACAAACATCTTAGATGAGTCAAGTTTTAAACCAGCTCCCCAGCAGAGAGAGGGCGCACTGCTCTCAGCAGGCGGCTTCATGATTCGGAACAATTTCATCCCAAATGTGACCCCGACCTGCAGCTGCTTCTTGTGCATGTGTCTGCTTCCTCCCAGCTGTCAGCAAAAACACACACTGGATAAGGAAATGTCTCCTCAGATCAGTCAGCGCTGTAATGCAGGCAGCACATGCAGCAGCAGAAACTGTCCATCTATTCATCACTGCAGACAGAAAGTTATTATAATCCTTTCACTGACTCACTGACTGTTATGACTTGTTTGGTTATCCTGAAGTTTTTTTGTGTTCAAGCCAGGAATGAATCAGAGCACCAAGCAAAGACAAAACATAATTGCCCCTACCATGAAACACCACTCCCTGTGGTGTTAAAACTTTGTATCATAGATGTTATTACACACACATACACTGCCAGTGTTTTAGTTGTAAACAGAAACTGCTACAGGTCCCTCCTGTCTGAGGAAAAAAAGAGATTAAACCTAAAGTATGAAGCTAAAATATGTTGCAGGTTTGATTTGGGTGTTTTACCCTCCGAACACTGAGTGTTTATGAACCAGAGGTTTGGGGAGCAATGAATTTACTGGTTTTTGAGTCCAATGATAGAAAAGATGACGTTATCACAAAGCAATAAATACACCAGCCCATGTCAGTCATTCAGTGTGAAGTGGAGTTATCTCCTTGTGCTATATTACTTCTCTTCACTGTAGCAGTGAGAATAATTAGATGGGATGTAATGCTTTCATGTTTAGGAGGAAAGAGGAGCAGGCGCTGTGATGACGCAGTGTCTGCTAGTTAGTGTAATAACTGTCATCTCTAAACTGCTGAATATGTAATAAACCCACATCAGTGCTCTGAACTTACAGGTGATATAATGAAGCAGCATCTGTTACTTCACAGAGGGGCTGATGGGAAGAACAAGAGGAATACAGTAACTTTATTGATCCAGTTATTAGTTAGTTGATTAGTTATTAGTTCGTTATTACTCAGTACTTGTTATTACATGATTAGTCAAAGTCAAGTTAAATCCCTTATGAGGTGGCAGTTTTATGTATGTATTTATTACCAGAGTTTATTATCAATTTTTGGTGAATGATTAAGTCATTTTGAAGCTAAAATGCCAAATATCCACTGATTCCAGCTCCTCACATATATTTGCTGGTTTACTCATGGTCTTCTATGTTAGAAAATTAAATATCTTAAACAGGACAGTCTTCATTTCCAAGAAGTTGCGACAGGCAATTATAATGATTATGTGACATTTTAAAAGACCAATTAATCAAAATGATCAAAATGACATTGCTGTTCTTCTTTCACTCCATTACAATTATCTTCTCAGTAGAATTGGTAATTGCATAAAAACATGATGAAATGGTGTGAAGGACATCCATGGTACAAGTGTATATCTGTATTATTGGCAAAAATGTCTTTTTACAGCAGGTCCCATTTAAACAGACTTAATAGTCTTTAGCTACCGGAGATGTTATACTGCCATCTAAAGTCCAGGATGTGTCACCACAGGAGTAATAAGTGTTAAAAGTAGATTTTCTGAGAGTTCCTGGTAATCTTATAGTTTTAAGGCGCTGAACTGTCTCCATTTCAAATCCAGCTAATGTCCTTAGTTGCATCTCTCTTCTCGCATTACCTGTCACATCTTTACTGTCAATTCTCAAATAAAGGCATAAAAACTTTTTTTCCTAAAACATTATGACACATTGTGGTAGCAGTTTCGTGAGCAAGGGAATTTCAGGATTGTTTCATCTGTAATACATTTTCATACACAGGGAGACATGAGGTTTTGAGTCATGAAAAATCAGTCAAATTGTAGCTTTTATAATAAAAACAATAATAATAATATTTATTTTTAGAGCACCTTTCAAAACTTAAGTTACTGGGAGCTAAGATAAAAAGAAAAAGCCAATTCCAGTGGTGCAAGATAAAAGGTTTGGTCTCAACATGGGTAGGGACAACAACAACCATCCCTCTAAAACAAAGAGATGGGCTTTTTAATACCGTCAGCCAAACAGTTTATTAAAATATAAGAACTGAATTTATATTCAGGAATGCCCATATACAAATGTAATATATGTATGGATGTATATGTGTGTATATGTGTTGAATTTCCATATATGAAATATATGAACATTTGAAGGAAAATCATATATGTATACCCTATATATGTAGAGATATGAAACCTGTTAGAAATTGGATGATATTAATATATATGTCTAGCTAATCGAAACATGTATTTGAGTATTTCTGTTTATATTGTATGTCATTATATATTCATGTTATATATGTGTGTGTATGTGTAAATGTGTGTGTGTATATGTGTGTGTGTGTGTATATATATATGTATATATATACGTATAAATATATATATATATAAGTATATATAGTATATATATGATATTATATATATGTACTGTATATATATATATATGCTATATATATATTGTTTATGTAATATATGTAATGTTATATGTATATTATGTATATGATATAATTAATTATGTGACTTGTATCATATATACTATATATATATATATGTATAATATTAAGTATATAATGTATATATATATAGATACTGTATATTATATATGATTATAGTTATATTATATTGGATTATATATATGATATATATATGTAATATATATATAGATAGTATATATATATATATAATACGTATAATCATAGTAATACTGATACTAATGACGACTTTTTATGAGATTCATACCTTACTATACGATGACCTTTTATGCTCCCCTTACCATACATATTGATGTTTTGATGAACTTTTTATGCTGCTTATTATACTATGATGTTTTGTGGACTTTTTATGCCTTACTATACTCTACCTCTAATGCCTTGTTACACTATGATATTTTTATGACCTCTTTATGCCTTACCTATATACTATGATGTTTTAGTGACTTTTTTATGCCTTTATTATGTGCATTTTTATGACTTTTTAATGCCCTATTATACTACACATTTTTATGACTTTTTGTGACGGTTACTTATACTGTGAAAACGCGTTTTTATCGCATCCTATTATACCTATGAAACTGTTTTGTGAGACTTTGTATTATTATATTG